CTTGAAGATTGATGATATGTCATGACATAAGTGTCATCAGTTCAGGGAAGCAAGGATGTATATATATAAAAAAAGTTTGACTAAACAGAAACAGAAGATGAAGGAATTTAGGTGACTCCAAACCTCAGCGAAGGGCATATCCTCCCTTTTGACCTGTTTCTAACTCTTATTACCCAGCGCTTCTTCTTCAGTATCCTTTTCTGAAGATGTTTAAGTCAAGATGTGATATTATTAAATTAGTTCTTGATGATATTTTATTTATCAAACTGTGCTGAATGTTGTGGATTGGGTTTGATTTGGAAGAGAGTCTAGATGCAAGGTGAGCAGATAAATGGTGAAGAAAATAGCCTAAACCCAAAATATTGAGGGCAGTGGGAATGGAGGCATTGCAAAGAATCAATAGAAGCCATCACACAGGAATGCTCTGAACTGCCAGGCACAGCATCTCTGAGACCCCCACCATCTGCACCCCACTTTTCCTCTGAATGCAATAGTAGGCTCTTCCTCCTCCAAAGACTTGTCTCTCCTATGTTCTGAATATCATCTTTTCTCACTTTCTCAAGAACATTACACTTTGCATCTTTTCTCTTTTATGCTGACTTCCTCCTTCACTGTGGACCCTTTTCTTTAAATATTCTCAAATCTCTGCCACCTTAAAAACAAAAGCTAAGCTTTTTGAAAGAAATATCTAGGCTTGCTGCTTACAGCTCTTCAATTATATGCAATCAAACATTTTGCATTTCATAATTTTTTTTTTTACTTTTTAAAAATTATACTTTAAGTTCTAAGATACACGTGCCGAATGTGCAGGCTTGTTACATAGGTATACATGTGCCATGGTGGTTTGCTGCACCCATCAACCCATCATATACATTAGGTATTTTTCCTAATGCTATCCCTCCTCTAGCCCCCACACCCTAACAGACCCTGGTGTGTGATGTTCTCCTCCCTGTGTCCATGTGTTCTCACTGTTAACTACCACTTGTAAGTGAGAACATGCAGTGCTTCGTTTTCTGTTCCTGTATTAGCTTGTTGAGAATGATGTTTTTAAAAATAAATAAAAAAATTACTCGGTTCTGGTTTTTACTTTCACTTTCTCCACACAACTGTGCCTGCTAAGGTCACCAATGCCATCCAGATCAATAAGTCAGATGGTTTTCCATCCTGAGTTGTCTGACCTTTGAATGGCTTTCAGTACAGTTTACTAACCATTCTATTTAGAAACTTTCTTCTTCTGACTTCTAGACTACCGTATTCTCTTCATTTTCCACATTCTTGAGCTCTATTCATTGTTTTTTTTTTCTTAATCTACCCTATTTCCCTCCAAATCCATCTTCTTTATAACTACTTCAGCTACCATCTCTATATTGATAGGTAACAAATTTGCATCTCCAGCCACATCACTGTATTTGAGCTCTAGATATGCATATCCATTTGTTTAAGCAATGAACATACAACATCTTATAGGACTTCAAATGCAACAGGCTCAAAACAACTGAGCTCATGACTTTTTCCTCAAAGTTTCTTCCCCACAAGTATTTCAATAAACAAAGCCATCATCTACCCATTTTTTCATGTTAGAAACCTAGGCAATCACAAATCTCTCTCAATACTCTCTTTATTTCCCGGTTTCCAATCAATCACAGAATGATTAGCTAGCTTTGCTTCCTAAATATCTTAAAACTGTCTCTGCTTCTGCCCACCTTAGTCTGAAAAACTTCCATCTCTCATTTGAGCTTTGGCAATTGCTTCCTAATGTTTGCTAACTAAACAGCCTCTCTTCCACCTACAATCCCGTTTCTTCATGACAGCTGCACTGTTACCTTAAAAGACCACAGCAACAGCAGTAAGTAAGATAACTTGGATATAATTTGATTTGTGACTGGTTGCTATTTCCCATCCTTTCCTCATTTCTAAATAGGAGTGAGCTAAAGTTCTTATTCTTTGCTGCGGGGTTGAGGGGAGGAGGGCAAAGAGGGGAATGCAAGGGTCATTGAGGAAATTTCAGAAAATCCGTCTTGGGAAATGGATGAAGTTCTGTTCCACCAGTGTACTTCCAGTCCAATTTCCCTACACAGTATCAACAAAACAAGAGATCCCCAATACTGCTGCTGTGATCTTAGAAATCCCAGCCACACAGCCCAGAATCATCACTACCAATCTACCAATGTTTAACCTAGAGTGGACAATTGCCACTAGGTGGTGCCAGACTGAAGCCAGGACCCATACCCTGACTTAAGAGGAATTTAGACAGCTCTTCTGGACTCCCGTAACTCACAACCTGTTGTGCTTGTAAGCTCATCTAGGTCACTTCGTTAACTTTACCATAACAAAACACCACATTTAATGGTGGTGAAAAATTCTGGACTACACCTACTGTGTTCTGAAAGAATTTTACTGTATTTTATAAACTCAAATCAAAATGTGTCACTTCCCCATTAAAACTTTTCCATGGCTTTCTTTGCTCTTAGGATAAAATCTTATCACATGGACTCAAAGACATAATTTTAACCTCTAATACCTATGGAAACAGACAGTTGGCATGAATGAACGATCCACCTGCTTGTAAAACTATAGAATATGGTGGGGCCTGTGATATCTGTATTTCCTGTTAAAAGAAATTCAGATTCAATTAAAAATGAAACAGAACAAATTATAAATATGTTAACAAGGGAAAGAAGAACTTTCACTAGCACTCCACTCTGGCCAATTGTTTATACTCCCTTGGCCCCTGCCCATGTGGCAGTTTTATGATAATGTCAAGCTCCTTCTTACTTCAGCGTTTAAGAACCGACCAACCCCTCTGTCTGGAATGCTTTCTTTCTCCTTTTTATTAGCTACCAATTTCTTGTCTTATAAACATTGGCCTAAAATCATTTCATCATGGAAGCCTATCCTTTTTGCACTCCTGCCCTGAATTAGATTCCATTTCCCTGTTGTAGCACACTTGCCCTCTTAGCCTTTGTTCAAAATTATGATTACTTTTGTGATATCTCTCTGTTCCTTTCCATTCATCTATCAAGTCACACATGCTATAAATCTGTATTAAGCCTCTGCTTTTCACCAGGAACCTCTAATATATTGTAAATTCATGGCAAGTTTTCCAGCATTGGCTAGCTGGAAAATGAATATGGAGGAAAGGGAAAACGAGATTAGAAAATAACTTCTGAGTGGCAAGCCTGGAAAAATGATCAGACTGCTCAAGAATATAGAAAAATCAAGATGGAAGCAGGTTTCAGGACAGGAGGAAATCTTTTATTTTCAAATTGTGAAGAGACATTCAAAGTTTGTTGAACATATAAGAGAAGCTGGGAAGCCATTTGCAAATTGTCTTCAGAAGTGTGAATATATGAGACTATTTAGTGACTGCAATCTCAAAGTCATGGAAGAGAATTTTTTAAAAAAGAAAGGATTGGCATATTTGAAGGGCACTCTAGAAAAGTTAGCTCAATAATGGAAATTTTCTTTTACATTTTGAGTGAAATACAAGTTGGCTTTTTAAGCTTATTTTTAAAGGAAGTAGGTATATTTAGCTTCAGTAAACAAAGAAGTTTAGCTGAATTCCCTGATGTACATCATTCCACTAGCAAGAGAATGGTGTAACACTTCTAAGATTAAAAAAAATACAGTAAGGTTTAGTTTTCGGCTGAGCAATAATTGTTCTGTAATTGTACAAGTTGGAGCCTTAATTCGCCAATTAAATCCTGCTTATCCACCTTCCTCTTTCTAAATATACATTTTGAGCTCTCTTCTGATGTTGAAAAAACTGTCCTGTCTTTGAAACAAGGTCTGAAAACATTATTCAGTAGAAACCCATCTGCACAGTGATTGAGTCACAACAAATCCAGATTCCTGGAATCTGTGAGAAAGGCTTGTGCTCATCACGTCATCTCTCCCTTTTCGTAGTACTTCCTTGAGGTCCTTGTGAGTTTGTTTTTAAGGTATTTTCTGCGCTGCTACACTGTCATTTCACGTGAGGGCAGCAGAGAAGCAGCGTAGAAGCGCCTGAATAGCAAATCAGAGGAGACTGGAGCTCAAATTTTGGGCGTAGTGTTTTCAGAACACCTCTTCAAATATTAAATCCCATGTTGTATCTCTTTTAACAATCCTAGTCAATTGATTTGCCGACTCTGTTCTTTTAAAAAAAGAATCAGACCTGCATCTAAGAATAGGTAAGTACACGTGAATACAGACTTTTGCAAGAGTTGTATCTGGTTTGCCCAGAATATGTTTTCTAATTTTTCTTGGGTAGTTACAATTTGACAACAGATTTGTTTAGTAATCACTCTATTATATTGTCCTATATACTTAAGAATAATTGTTTTGAGCATAGTCCAAGCCCTGATGCCATTTTAATACATGTGGAAGCACATTTTGATTAAGTGTAGTTTGAATAAAACATTGGTGAAATAAAAATAGCTTTTGTATCATAATTGTGAATGGTCTTTGGCTGTGTTCTAGGTTGCAATAAAAAGGTAGTGAGTCCATTTGGATATTGTGAAAAAAGTATTACTATTGAATTACAGCATAGACAGTAACATATTCCCCAGGATTCAGGCTCCCTGTCACTTAACACTGCCTTTGTTCTCTCTGCCCAGAACGTTCTTTTCCCCATGATCATCCCAGGTCACTTTCCAGCCATGCCCATCCTTTTGCAAGACTGACCTCTGAGCATACTGCCGGTCTCAGGACAGAGGTAGCATCTCTGGGCAGCCTTCTCCACTGCTTCCCGATTTTCTTGGCCATCCTGTGCTTCTCCTGTTTACTCCTAGGGTCCTCTGTAGGCTCCTATGGGAACTATTTCTTGTTCCTAATTTTATCTCTAGTACCTAGTAGTATGTACTTAGCAGGAGCCCACCAAAAACCAAACAATAAATAATTAAAATCTTTATCAAGATGGTAGGGGTGGGGAGTAGGAGAAGCAGAGAACTACTTAAACTGTGAAAAAGAGGTTAAAAGAGGATTTGCCACCCTGCCTATTTTAGCGTAGGGGTAGGAGTTTAACGTTTGAGGCAATAGCAAAGATGATGATCAGTGCTTCTCAGCAAACATTTGACAGTCTCAGGTAAGACCAGCTAGATCTTAGGTCTGTAGCTAGTCAGCTAGTCAGTCATATGACTCAATACTGGTGACAGCTAGGGGCTTAAAAAAAATAAAAACGTGTTTGTGAAAATGCTTTGTGTAGGGCTAAGCACAGAGAAGTGAGCACCGAATGTCTGCTGAAAAACAAAAGAAGCTTAGACTATCGTGATCTTAGCAAAATTCTTCTCTTACAGCTTCCTGGTTGTTAAGGTGACTCCCTCAAGGGCATCAGTCTGTGCTGGAAATCATTGCAGTGTGGTGGGGAGAGAGAGAGGGAGCTCTTTATAGAGAGGACTCAGCTCGCCTTCGCCTTCTTAGCATCTTGTTGCTAGGCAATGGCTCCTCTGGTGGAAGCTCATCTCCATCTTTAAAGATGGAGTGAAGTCTTGCAGAGGGAAATGCAGTTTGTACAAATTGGACCATGTGCAAACAGTATATTGCTCTAGTCCTCAAAACTGCTTTTCTGTATAAGGGAGACAAATCAGTCCTACTTAAAATCCTGTCACTTAACAACCAGTTAATATAACTCCTCTCTTTTCTGTAAAGAAATAGACTTCCTTTTAATCTTATTGATCTATTTTTTTTTTACCTTTCCAACTATATGTCTTTCCAAATGAATTTAATGAGATTCAACAGGGCATTGTTTGTGATAGTATTTTCCTAGACTGCTGAATTAATTTCCATTTAAAAAATTACTTTGGATTTGCAGCTCTGGCCAGCATCTAGCCTATTGTTCTTAATGCATATTACATAATGATAAAATATAGTGGGTGGTCAGTAAGAAGGACCAATATTTAATGAATATAGTTATTTTAAACTAAGTGTAGGTAGGTTATACTGTTTGTATATATCTGATAAACCTATACATGGTTTGCTAGACTCTAAATTTCAAAGACCAATACAAAATAATTATCTTTCTCAGAACCGAAAATGCCCTTTAGACACCAAGAGCTTTGTGTTTTTAACTTTTTAACCTTTTAAATCGTTGGTCAGTTTAGATAGCAAAATTTGCAATTCACTTTTATTTTCTCATCTTGTAATAATGTCACAGATTTTTGGAAGCTAATGACCAAATTAGTATAGCCATATTGTATCAATCTATTTTTTAAAAAAGTTTCTGAAAGACTTGAATGTATAAATAACTTGAGAAATGTAGTTATCTTACTAGGGAGTTAAAAAATTCTCTTCTAAATATTGCCGTATGATTTACATAGTAGAGTCTTGTATTTGTAACTTTTTTTGTGTGTGTGTGTTGTTTTTTTTTTTCCAAATTTAATCCTGGAGAAGGTCTGACACAGGATTGCCACTTCTGTTAGTTCATTTTGTGTTACTATAAAGGAATATCTGAGGCTGAGTTACATATAAATAAAAGAGCTTTATTTTGGCTCATGCTTCTGCAGACTGTACAAGAAGCATGACACCAGCATCTGCTTCTAATAAGGCCTCTGGAAGCTTCCGGTAGTGGGGGAAGGTGAAGTGGAGTAGGCATGTCACATGGCAACAGAGGGAGCAGGAAAGAGAGAAGAGGACTGCCGCACTTTTAAATGGCCAGCTCTTGTGTGAAGTAGTAGAGGAGAACTCACCCATTACTGTGTGCAGGGCACCACACCTTTTATGAGGGTTCCACCCCCAGGATCCAAATACCTCCCATTAGGCCTCACCTCCAACATTGGAGATTGCATTTCAACATGAGTTTCAGAGGAGACGAATATCCAAACTAGGCCAGTTGCAGTGGCTCATGGCTATAGTCCAAGCACTTTGGAAGGCTAAGGTGAAAGGATCACTTGAGTGCAGAAGGATCACATCTGTAGTGAGCCAAGATCACGCCACTGCACTCCAGCCTGGGCAACAGAGTGAGACCCCATTTCAAAAAATAGATATATGTATATGTATAACCAAATTGTATCACCAGCCACACAACCACCACCAATAGTCTGATTAGAAGTCCACAAACTTTGAATCTTGAGTGAGTTTAGTAAAGTTGAAGGAATTTCCTGACCCACTTAAGTTTCAGCCTGCCTCCAATTCCCCCCCTCCCCTGCCCCTCCCCTCCTCTCTCCTCCTGCTGGGACTTGGCCAGAGACAGCTGTAAAGATAACCAGGAGACATATCGTGAGATCCCTTTGGCCGTGATAAAGAGTTTCAAGGAGTTTTGAGAGATTTTAAGTTGTATACAAAAAATCTGGCTTGGCATTTGTGTTGGTAAGTAAACATTATTGTGGATCAATATTTAAAATGAAAATGGGAAACACATGGGAGTCTCTGGTGTTACCTGCATTTTATACCTGCCTGGGGATCACCTGAAAGTGGCAACCCCATGGTCTAAACACTCTAAGAATTATTGGCTTAACGTAGTGCTTTCAACCTTTTCCAGATCCTGTGCACATAACAAATAATATTTACATAGCAAGCAGAGACAGCCTGAGGAGGATGTTTACAGCCAGAGGTGCCCAGCACAAGAGCCCTGGTCACTCTAAGTCCCATCTATTTGCCATGAAATCTAAAGAATGTATCCTGTCTCCTCAGGCTGTAATCCATTTGTTGCACACTAGTTGAGAAATTCTAGTTTAGAGAACTGAATTAGAGTGGGGACGTGATATCTCTTTCCACGGAATAGGAATCACTTGTTTTGACAGGGAGTACAAACAATGCTAATGTTTTTAACAGTAGTGAATTAAGTAGGAAAATGACTCCTTAAAGATCTTTCAAGATCTCACATTATGTTCCTCTTAAAAACTAGAGAGTTTTTATTAAAAAAATACTTCTTGCATGGGAATGAAATGTGTTTTAAAATGTATGTCTGATTGTTACTCAAGTATGGTTAGGCCAACAGATCAGAAGACAATTGCCATTGAAAAGTTAGTTTGTTATGCACAGTTCCACAGAGGGGCATATGCCGTGCAGAACTATGCAGGAAAGCACCAGGGCCGGTCGGGGGAGTGAGGGAAAATGAAAGCATGAGCTGTTATTGTAGTTTCCGTAGGAAGGAACAGGTAGGGTAGGATGAGCAGGTTTAGAATTGACTAGTTTGAGTAGCTTTAGTGGGCTCTGAAGTGCAGAGGCTGTCTCCAGTTGTCTGGTGCCTAGCCCTGGGATGATCAAGACAGTGGCCCAGAGAGTGAGAGACCAATACTGAGGTGGCTGGGAGTGTGAACTCTGGATTGGTTGCATATGAAAAGCGTGTCCTGCTGGGTGCGGTGGCTTCTACAGGCACTTTGGGAGACTGAGGTGGGCAGATCACCTGAGGTAGGCAGTTAGAGACCAGCCTGACCAGCTTGACCAATGTGGAGAAACCCCGTCTCTACTAAAATTACAAATTACCTAGGAGTGGTGGCGCATGTCTGTAATCCCAGCTACTTGGGAGGGTGAGGCAGGAGAATCACTTGAACCCGGGAGGCAGAGGTTTCAGTGAGCCGAGGTTGCACCATTGCCCTCTAGCCTGGGCAACAAGAGCGAAACTCCGTCTCAAAAAAAACAAAAAACAAACAAAAAAAAAAAACAGTCATGTCCCTGGCAAATTGTTTGCTATCTCTAGGCACAGTCTCTTTCCATGTCAGCAAGACTTCACAATGTGAAAACATCATAAATACAGAAAATAAAAAGCCATGATTAATGTAAAAAGTAATACTCTTTAACTATCTTAAACATTTTAACATGACGTCGATAAATACCATAGAAATTACTGAATTCCCAAGTGGAATGAAGACAAAAAATTAGAACTCAGTCATATTTTAGATGACAGATATTGAAAAGAAAGTATGAATACAACCTTGATAAAAATATGTTTATAAAGTAATGATAAAAACTCTGTGAACTATAAAATATCTTCTTTTTTATTGTCTAATGGTGAAAATAGTTCTGATTTGCTGATAAAATAAGCCACTAAAACATAAAACATTACCTGGAATTCGTGTTTGAAATCTTGATAAGCTATCCATTGTCTTATGGTAGAAGCAATACTTATTCTGAGAAATGTTGAAATAAATAATTCAAAATAGCAGCAGAGAATTCTAAAATACTTTGGACATACTTTATGATTTTGCTGGTATTTTTTTCCGATATGTTTTGCTTAAGTAAGTTTTAAAATTAACTTTTATTTCCTGAGTGCCCAACAGCTGAGCAGCAGAGGTAATAAGCAAAGAGCATATTGGGTAAGAGTGGGAAGCTTGTCTGAAACTCGCAAATGCGCAGGAATCTTTCATTTCATCTCCATGCCAATTAATAGTTCAACATATGAAGAGCTTTGAAACACTGCAAAAAAATTAGAAAATGTAAAATTTTCTGCAGATCTATCAATGTACATATAATTAAAGTAAGCAATACAAAGGTATTATTTTAATGGGAATCGTGCTTACATATATAGTCTTACCTTTTCCAATTCGTAGTTTAACTATGTCCTGTAATTAACTTCTGCAATGATTTTATTTTTCATTTTGTGATTATTTTTTATTCCTCAGATTTTCTAAATAGTACACACATGCCGCATATTAAGTAGAGATGTCAGAGAAATGCTGTGAACAAATAGTTCTTTGAACTAAACCCAGATATTTGCATTGAATATGATGCTTAAAATTCATTTATTCTATCTCCTAGGCTGTTTAGTGTTGTAGTGTGCATATAAAAATTTTCAGTTTTCTAAAGTGTAGCTAAAAAAATTTTGAATTTATAATGCTCATAATATTTTTACAGGCACAGATACGCGCCAATAAGTGTATTACAAAAACTGTTTGAATTTTCATTTCATTTATTTGTTCAAAAGATATAGACCTTCTGACCACAATTAATTTATGTGCCTTTCTCCATGTTCTTTACAAAAGTTACTTATATACCAATCAATTTAATTCATAGAAAAGAGAATTAAATTCATGATCATAGGCACAATTTATGTCCTATTCTTAGTTGAGGTACTGGCAACTCAATTAATAGAAACTTCACGTTCATGAAATGGAAAGTTGGAGAAAATGTTGTCCAGTCTCACCAGGA